GCGTGGAGTCCTGCGTATTACCTCCTCGCATGCATGGATTGTCTCCATGCATTCTGGTTTCATTCTGACACGCCAACCACTTATGTAATGAACACTAAGCAGGAACCTGCTGAAAAAATTGCCAGAGTCAGCGAGGCTTTCATGGTAAACAAAGGACGTGAATACTATTATTGTATACTGGAGTAGATAGACATTAGATGATGATGCCTTCATTCAGCAGTGGAGAGAGAATAGAATGATGATGGCAATGAGGGCTGGCTGCACAGGATTGGACACGCACGAGAGGACAGCCACCGCGGATACGGAACGATGCGATCAGATCGCGTGTGTAGGAGCTAGGTTTGATTGTTACATCACGTCACACGCTTTGGGAGGAAGACCTTCATCCGATCCAGCAGTGGATCGATCATGGCTGACGATGAGGGCTGGTTGCCAAGACAATTCGGCAGGCACAGCTGTGAGTGGTGCGGAGCGCGGGGGGTAGTCGGGGTGCAAGTGAGGAAACAGAGGAAGAGGTGGGGAGAACAGAGGGAGTGGGGTGCAGGCAGTCAGGTGTGCGCGGTCTTCTTCTGCCCCCCCCGCCCCTTCGCGTGTGCACTCCGCCTATTTGCCGAGCAAATAAAGGAGGTAAATAATGAAATAAAGCATCCACAAGAGTAATTGCCACTACCCCCGCCTGATTGCTTTCCAAACCGGCAGCTTTGATGGGATGATTCGGTTGTTGGGTTTGGATTGTGGGCAGGGCCGGATTTAGGTGGGAGGGGGTGCAAGGGGGGGGGGGACATTTGTCCAGGGCCCAAAGTACTCCACCGAGTCAGGGAAGTAAAATAGAAGACACATTTCAGTTTCTAATTAAGAAGAGAAGGTAAAGGCGCAGCCCCTGCAATTGCTCGCTCAAGCCACTGCTGGCGGAAGGGTGCCTCCGCTACTCGAGGGGGATTTGTGGCCTAACTCTTCCACACTGGCCAAGACGTCTTGGAAGGAGGTGGGAGTAACTCACACTTTACCCCACCACACGACGAGACCTGCACGATGAAATGGCTGTGGTGAACACAACAATGATCACGGCTGCATGGACAGATGCAGGCGGGGCGCGGGGGGGGTTTCAGAAACCTGCTCCATCGTTTCGGCTGCCGCGTCAGAAGATCGGAATCGAGCCGGCGACCTCTGCATTGAAAGTTCGCTGTGCTAACCATGACGGCACTTCGACAGTGCCCCCCGCTGTGATTGTGATAGGGCCAACAACGAAGAAGCTCTGCCCTACTTGAGGAGAAATCCTCTCCTTAAACTGTACTGACCTCTGAACATATTTGCGGCCTACAGAAGCCTGGAAACAACCTATTTGCTGTACTGCCTGCCCCCTAAACGTGCGATGTGCTGGTTTAGCGTGTGGGTGAGTGGGGTGTCTCGCGCACACCGCTGAGTAAATCTACGCGTGATCCACCAACCCCCCCCCTCCCCCATTGTCCGGCTAATCCCCCAATACCCCTACTTACTCATCATCATAACCATCATAACCATCATCGGGAATTATAATCATCCACAACGACGCGAACGATGCTGCTGAGTTGTGTATTACTCTCGAATTTAGCGTCCAACTTCAACGCGGACCCCATGGGCTCAAGAGCGAGGGGTGCTCGCATGTAAGGCCTGAAGTTCGCCCGCATTGATTCGAGCGAGCACGACTGCTGACGAGACACTGAATGTTGAAACCGATCCTCGCCCATAAACATCTGGTAGCTCACCAGCAGCGATTCGAGCGAGCCCGAACCTGCTGCTGATGAGACACCGAATGTTGATGGCGATCGAGATTGCGTCCGATGGGATGTGTGCATCGTCATGGTCAATCCACTGCTGGAGTGTACTCATGCTATGATTGAAAACTTGCAGGTGCAGTCATTCCTGTCTATGTACTTCATCATAAACAACAACTATATTTAATTTTATTTCCCATGGCATTTTAAAGGCGACTGCCGTAGCATTGCAGCTGTGAGTCGAGCCTGGCAAGGTATCGCTTTGACACCAGCTGTGTCTCTTGCTGTGTCTTGCTGTGTCTCTTGCTGTGTATCTTGCTGTGTGTCTTGCTGTGTCTTGCTGTCTCTTGCTGTGTGTGTCTTGCTGTGTGTCTCTTGCTGTGTCTCTTGCTGTGTCTCTTGCTGTGTCTCCTGCTGTGTATCTTGCTGTGTTTCTTGCTGTCTATTGCTGTGTGTCTTGCTGTGTGTCTCTTCCTGTGTATCTTGCTGTGTGTCTTGCTGTGTCTATTGCTGTGTGTCTTGCTGTGTGTCTTGCTGTGTCTATTGCTGTGTGTCTTGCTGTGTGTCTTGCTGTGTATCTTGCTGTGTCTTGCTGTGTCTCTTGCTGTGTCTTGCTGTGTGTCTTGCTGTGTCTTGCTGTGTCTATTGCTGTGTGTCTTGCTGTGTGTTTTGCTGTGTGTCTTGCTGTCTTTTGCTGTGTCTTGCTGTTTATTGCTGTGTCGCATTCATACCATAATCAACAACAATAATCATCAACAACAATTATCTTCTTCACACGACGGATATCAACAATCATTACCGGCAACTATTATGCTCTAAATCATTCAGGTAAATACAACAACCACTATCATCGACATCATTATTATAATAATAATTATTATTACTCCGACTATACAATCCGCAAAGCTATCACTCAAACCATGAAGAAGAACCCTCTTGAGGAGCCTTTCAAAACCATCACTTTACCCTACATTGCTGGGATCACAAAAAAGATCTCCAAAATCTTGAATAAACACAAGATCCAGGTCCGTTTCAACACATTACATAAAATCCGTGATCTGGTTCCGTCTGTAAAAGATGTGATTCCGGACATACAATACCCTGGTGTCTACAAACTAAGTTGCCTCTGTGGTAGTAGTTACATTGGAGAAACCAAACGCCATATCTCGGACCGCATTCGTGAACATAAAGCAGACCTTAAACACGGTAGGACCAACACCTCGGCCGTAGCAGATCATTGTTCTAATTCAGTAGGCTCACATGCCATTGACTTTTCCAAGACGGAGGTTCTTTGTAAGCCATCTGGCTTCCATGAGAGATTCGTTCATGAGGCTATCCACATATACAAACACAGAGACAATTTCAACCGAGAAGATGGATTCTATCTTAGCAATCATTGGAAAGATTTGATAAATCATTTCAGTTCTTGATTGATTGTTCACGCTTACAGTGGCTTTCAGACAGCATACATAAAAACAAATTTCGTCTCCCCCCTCCTCTTTTCAAAAAATAGATGGACTAGTCCTGGCAAACAGCCAATCGTTGCGCGTGACGCAAACGTCATTTTTATATAAATAAATAAATAAATATGCCGTTTTCAAAATAAATTTATGCAAACCGACACACCTGATGATGACCGTTTGAGTTATGGTCGAAACGTCGTGAGAATTTTTTATTGTTTTATATATATTTTGTTATTTTGTTGTTTCTCTTCAACGTGACTTTACCGAAAAAACTAAGAATATGAATTACTGCAGTCACGAAAGCTTTAAATCAAAATCAAAATATAATAATTATCGTCATCTTCGCACATCACCAATCATCACCCACAACCCATTATAATAATCACCATCACCATGATGATACAGACGATTATTCACCATCACTACCATCAACATCATCGCCACCATCACGACCCCCATCACCGTCGTCACGACATCATCACGCCATCGTCACGGTGACGCACAAGCCACGTCTGCTGTGTTTTCTTTGCCATCGATTCTGAGCCATTGTGAGTTCCCAAACCACCCACCGCGTTCCATCTCCCCCCTCCCCTCTAACCCCGGCTCCCAGCCACCCACGCCCCCCCTCCATTGCCCCCCCTCCCATTCCGCGCTCCCCCCAGCACCTCCCCCTCTGCCCCCCCCCACCTCCTCCCACCTCCACCGCGCTCTCTTCTCTTGACGTCATTGCGAGGCGAGGGAGCGTGCGTCTTGAAGAATGAACCAAATTTAGGAGCAGCCCTTGACGTGGGAGAGACAAAGATCCACCGCATAGCCTCATCGAACTGGAGGAAACACACGCACACAGGCACACGCTCGCACACAGAGAGACACACGCGTATACACACAGAGAGACACACGCGTATACACACAGAGAGACACACGCGTATACACACAGAGAGACACACGCGTATACACACAGAGAGACACACGCGTATACACACAGAGAGACACACGCGTATACACACAGAGAGACACACGCGTATACACACAGAGACACACGCGTATACACACAGAGATGCAAACAAAACTAAGACAAAGATCCCCCGTATCGCTTTGACAGACTGTTGGGGCAAGTGATGTAAGCGAGCACCTATGAAGGCCGGTACGGCACACGAGGGGGGGGGGGGGATGGGTGGCCAGCACCACGCCCGGCCGCCTTTGTCTCCCAAGTGGCGATGATTACACACCTCATCAGATACTCATTTGAGGCCGAGTCGACCTAAGCGATTCCCAGAACCGGATCAGATAATCGTCACTGGTGTTGGCCGTGGGCGGGAATCAAACTCGGCTCGCCGGATTCACAGCTCGGCGCGCTAACCGCTACGCAACCGCTCCCCACACACACAGAGATACCCACACAGAGTCACGCAGAGATGCACACATAAATACAAAGATCCCCCGTATAGCCTTGCAAGGCTATTGGGGCAAGTGCTGCTCGCGAGCACCTATCAAGGCCAGGGACACGCACGGATACACAAAACAAAGGCACGCACGCGCACACAGAGACGCGCGTGCACACAGAGACGCGCGTGCACACAGAGACGCGCGTGCACACAGAGACGCGCGTGCACACATAGACGCGCGTGCACACAGAGACGCGCGTGCACACAGAGACGCGCGTGCACACGTGGAGACGCGCGCGGGAGGGGCTCGTCCGAGTCAAGCTGCTCGCTCCCTCGCACTGAGTCACTCAGCCCCCCCCCCCCCGCCCCCCCCGCCCTCCCTGCCAGCACTCGCCTTCATTTCTCGCGCTCCGTCGCCCCCCCACCCCGCTCCCTCCTCCTCCTCCCTCCCCCTCCGCTACGCGATGGTGACGCGCATTGGAGCGGGGGCTATGGTCCAGCGTAGATCCTCAAAACCTCGGAGCGACCCCAGCAGCTGAACAAGACGGGAGGCGAGACGACACCCAGAGCCGGGCTCCAGGACCCGGAGCGACAGTCGCAAGGACAGCGGCACCCAGGCGGAGACGAGGCGTGAACCCGCAGCGCGCGCGCCTGCTGTTCTCTCGCGGTATCTTCACCCTCTCCTCTCGACCCGTCACATCATCCGTCACCTGCTGTCATCTCCTCACTCGCCTCCCGAAATCTCCGATCACCCCCCCCCCCCCCACGCTCGCCTCCTCTCTCGTCTCGCGGTCCTCAACTCCCGTATTTCCCTCCTCTTCCTCCATCCACATCGTCCGTCATCCCCCTCGCTGCCCCCGCTGCGAGGTTCCACGATGAGGGGGGGCAGCACGCGAAGCGCCCTGCACACTGCCCGCCTGCTGGGCTGCCTGGCCCTGGCGTGGTGGATCCCCACGGAGGCCTCCCCCGGCGCAAGGCAGAACGTGAACGCAAGGCAGTACGTGAACGAGTGGGCAGTGCAGATCGAGGGGGGCCCCCACGTCGCGTCCGCCCTGGCTGACGAGCTGGGATACCGGCTACTGGGCCAGGTGAGCCGTGGTGGTGGTAGTGGTGGTCCTGAGTGGGGTGGGGGTGGTGAGTGGGGTAGGGGTGGTGAGTGGTGGTGGTGGTGGTGAGTGGGGTGGGGGTGGTGAGTGGGGTAGGGGTGGTGAGTGGTGGTGGTGGTGAGTGGGGCAGGGGTGGTGAGTGGTGGTGGTGGTGAGTGGGGCAGGGGTGGTGAGTGGGGTGGTGGTGAGTGGGATAAGGGTGGTGAGTGGTGGTGGTGAGTGCGGTGGGGGTGGTGATGAGTGAGGTGGGGGTGGTGAGTGGGGCAGGGGTGGTGAGTGGTGGTGGTGAGTGGGATAAGGGTGGTGAGTGGTGGTGGTGAGTGCGGTGGGGGTGGTGAGTGGTGATGAGTGGGGTGGGGGTGGTGAGTGGTGGTGAGTGGGGTAGGGGGGTGGTGAGTGGGCTTAGGGGTGGTAGTGGTGGTGGTAGAGGTGGCCCCCTGCCAGCGAGCCTTCGACACTTCACGTGGCCTCAAGGTGCACATAGCCTGGCACAAGCACCGTGGTGACGTCACCGCCACTTAGTGACGAATGACGGCTGTTGTTGGTGGTGGCGAGTGGGGTAGCAGTGGTGAGGGGGTCGTGGTGATGGTAGTGGTGGTGAGGGGGTCGTGGTGATGGTAGTGGTGGTGAGTGGAGTGGTGGTGAGTGGGGTGGTGGTGATAGTGGAGAGCGGTGGCGCAGTGGTTAGTGAACTGCGCTACGACCCTGGCCACTCGAGTTCGATTCCCGCTCACGACCAATAACAGTGACACATCTTTGAACCCGTTCAAGGCCTCCCCTAGGTCGACTCAGCCTCAAATTAGTAACCTGGTGCGATGTGTAAACATCCGCACTTTGAGAGACAAAGGCGGCCGGGCGTGGTGTTGGTCACCCACCCCCTCGTGTACCGTGCCGGCCTTCATATGTGCTCGTTAACAGCACTTGCTCCAACAGTCTGTTAAAGGTTATATGGGGGACCTGTATATTTGCCTCGAGTAGGGGTGGTGGTGGTGGTGGCACAAGAAATGCTGAATTTCAACCGAAACTATCCGGAACGCTGTCACAGGAACAATTTTTGTTCACGCCACATCCATCCTGCCTCAATGTGTCCCTTATTGTGCCCTACATTCCCATAAATCTGTGCATTTCATGATAAGATTATGGGCTACAATAATATCGGGTTATGGAGAGGCGTAACTTGCACTCTAGTGGTAGTGCCTTACACCGATAATCCCCCTCCAAGCCGGCCCAGCAGCGTTCCGGAAAATATCACGTGACACGTGAGACCCTCGGTACCGGTGGAGTTGGTAGTGGCGATACCCGTGGTGGTGGTACAGGTGGTGTTACAGGCGGTGGTACAGGCGGTGGTACAGGCGGTGTTACAGGCGGTGGTTCTGCTTGTCATTCTCTCCTCGTCGTCATCGTTAACAGCATAGCAACCATCTCCACCACCATCATAACTTGAACCATCATCAAAACCACGACAGCTCCCATCACTCTTGCCGACTCAATTTGTAACATCACCACCACCAGCAGCAGCAGCAGGGGCAATATCCAAATCATTATCGCCACCGTCATCATCATAATCACATCGCGATCGTAATCATAAGCAGTGACAACAGCAGCAGCATCGTAATCACCACCATAATGTTAATCTAAAGTCATCAGCAGCATTAGCAGCAGCATAATTACTGAACGTGTCCTCTCTAATTATATAATCAGTTTCCATCGTGAAAACAATCCTCATCATCGTCATCATCAGCGCCATCATCGCGGCCGTGTGCATTGGTCACGCTCAGCGAGTCGTCTCCACCGCCACGCGCGTGCGCGTGCGTGTGTGCGTGCACGCGCACTTCCCGAGGCTCCGCCGTGCTGAGGTCGAGGCGAGGGAACGTTCACCCCCAGCAGAGCGATGGCCATTCCTCAACAATTCTCATCGTGAGATAACACGTCCACATCCTCCCGAATATCACCATCATCGTCACGAGCAGCAGCAGCAACAGCAACAACAGCAGCAACAGCAGCAGCAACAGCAGCAGCAACAGCAACGACAGCAGCAACAACATCAGCAACATCAGCAACGGCAGCAGCAGCAGCAACAGCAGCAACAACAGCAGCAGCAACATCAGCAGCAACAGCAGCAACAGCAGCAGCAGCAACAACAGCAGCAACAGCAGCAACAGCAGCAACAGCAACAACAGCAGCAACAACAGCAGCAGCAACAACAGCAGCAACAGCAGCAACAACAGCAGCAGCAGCAACAACAGCAGCAGCAACAACAGCAGCAGCAATAACAGCAGCAGCAGCAGCAGCAACAACAGCAGTAGCAGCAGCAGCAGCAACAGCCGTCTCTTCATTATCAGACGCACACGACAACACAAAGACAAATATTCCCCGTATAACCATAACCACCCGACACAGCCAATTAGTAAGGTTTGTCACGTAAACAGAACGTGCCAATTCGTTATTAGTACAATCCACAACATTTACAATCTGAGCACCGTGACGTTTCGCCAGTAAGTGCAAGCAGCATCATCAGGCGACAGCCAGAATTGTGGAGAAATCCTCCTGTTTCGTTCCTTAACTCGAGGGGTATCTGTGGTGACACCACTTGTGAGCCCTTCTTGAGAGAAGTGGGTGAGGGTTAATGAATGCATCTACATTACTTTGGGCATCTATTGCCGGTACGGGTTATTCATATGGTAACCAACGTACAATGTACATGCACATCGTGCATGTACATTGTGCATGTACATTGTGCATGTATCTCCTGGCGTTTGTGTGCACTAGAATAGCAGTACCTGTTCTTGTCTGTTCACTGGTAATTCACATTGAAGTATGGTGACCTGTATAGGCATGCATTTAGACAATGTATTATTTTAATATTCGCTTCCAAACAGCGCTAAGCCTGCATCTATCCGAACGGTTAAAATTAGTTTTACTTCTCTCAATTTCAATAGATTATCTAATTAGTCTTGGCCAGTAGTAACTAGTTTTGCACAGAACTTCAACATTATCTAAACCAAACGTGTGTCCTTGTTGGCACGCGTGTTCTGCCACTGCCGACCGTTCTATCTGGGAGTATTTAATTTTCCTTTGGTGTTCGTTTAGTCTCGTGCTGATCATTCGTCCTGTCTGCCCATCATAGCATTTGCCACAAGAGCACTTAACAGACTGTTGGGGCAAGTGCTGTTAGCGAGTGCCTATTGAAGCTGGCACTGCACGCGAGGCAGGTGGTGGGCTCAGCGCCACGCCCGGCCGCCTTTGTCTCCCGAGTGATGACGCTTACACACCGCACCACCTACACATTCACATACACGCCCCCATTCTCAACGACAGCCCCCGATCTCGTACCAATCATTCTCTCTTCGGCGCTGCGACTGACGCCCGTGATTCCGCCCCCTTGTGGGGACAACGATGTATTGTTTTGTGTCGTCTTGTGGCGTCCCCCACTCCGCAGTGGACCCCCCCCCCCCTCTCGTCCGGAGTTCTCTGTCGAGATCAGTTCAAGCCTCCCGTAAATCACGTGACTTGTGTGTGTGTGTGGCCACCCCCACTCAGACTTGAAATGAGTACCTGGTGCGATGTGTAATACATCACCACTGGGGAGACAAAGGCGGCCGGGCGTGGTGCTGGCCACCCACCCCTTCGTGTGCCGTGCCGGCCTTCGTAGGTGCTGCTCGCTAACAAAACTTGCCCCAACAGTCTGTTAATAGCTACATGGATGAGCTTTGTCTTTGATGGTGTGGGCTATTATGATGATGGTGATGATGACAACTAAAATTGTGGTGATTGTTACAATGTTGATGGGTGGGAGATCTGACCACGCGGTGCTGGTGGAGATGTGAATGGGGGTGATGGTGGTGGTGATGTTAACGGTGGTGATGGTGGTGGTGATGTTAACGGTGGTGATGTTAACGGTGGTGATGGTGGTGGTGATGTTAATGGGGGTCATGGTGGTGGTGATGCACGTAAACACCATCTTGATTCTGGCAATGTGCGATGACGATGGAGCACTTTGCTAACGGATGTCGTTATGAGTCAAACCCCGATCGAGATAATCAGCGAGCTCCTGTTTCAACAGCTGCTCGCGGTGATGTGTGAAGGAGAGCATGGATGATGCACCCCCCCTCATCCCCATCAACCCACCCACACCGGGCCGGTTCACTAGAACGTCGCTGTGTAATTAAAGATAAAAGTTAATTGGCCACGTGGCGCTGTGTTGGGATTGTGTGATGTAGGGGGTCGAGTGGCTGAGTCTCTTGACTAATCAGAACAAGAATTGAGACTGGATGAATCCGATGAGCTGTTAAGCTCTTTTCATAGATCTCGAGCATGGACTAATGGACCCTGTCCCCTAACTCAACCCCAAACCATAAGCAAACCATTAATTAAAGCCGAAACCGCAACCCATATTCTTGGTTCTTTCGGTAAAGTCACATATATATTTTTTTAAATAGTAAAAGCTATTTATTTTTAATTTTAATTAAATTGTATTATTTTTATTTTTTATCTACGTGACTTTACCGAAAGAACCAAGAATATTAATTCCTGCAGTCACGAAAGTTTTAAGTCAAAACGTAACCGTAACCGTTCGCACAACCCTCACCATAATTCTAACCATAACCCCAACTCTGAACCGAGCCTGAACATGGCCCCAAGGTCAAACAGAGATCTTAACTTATACCCCAGCTGCTCTAACCTCTAACCCCTGTCTATGGAACTTGAGTCGATCACTCGACTACATCGGCTACACGCCACTGACAATGCTTTACCTCTCCTGCAAAAAAATAAACACTCAACGCATTTGTCAACAACACCGGGTTGTGTGGTCTTATAATGGACAATATATAACAGGTGACGTTTCGAGCAATGATCCTTCTTCACAAAACATTAATTTACGTGCTATAAAGGGCCATTGCCCGAAACGTCGCCTATCGTTGTTGTGAACGCAGCATAACTCCCCCCCCCCCCACAAACACACGTGTGTCGCGCGCGACACACGTGTGTTTGTGTGTTTGTGGTGCTGCCATGCCCCAAGGCATTATAATTAACAATTCGTATTAGTGTGTATTAGCATTTGTACTCTAGTCCAACTTAATGGTGTTAATCAGTAATTGTCATTATACTGTAGTTATTGTTTGTGATGCTCGATTTTTTTTAATTAAAATTATTGGTCAGCGATTTAACGTTCAATGAATGAACATCGACAGTAGTGCTGCCGTCTGGTGGCGAGCCAGGGTACAGCTCCCCCTCAATGCCCACCCACAGGAATGGAGTTGAAACAGATGGAGATTAGTCCACACTTTGCCGTACAGCCTTCTGCTCTCGAGCCATGGGTATGCTCCAGCCACGCGTTGCAGGGAATACCACATCATCTTAACACGACTCTTGACTGGAACTAAACTATTTATATTTTCCAGGTGAGGCCCACCGAGCTATGTAGCTCTTTTTCAAAAGCAACCTGACCACAAATGAGAGCTCAACAAAGTGGCTCGTCGTGCGGAGATTTACAACAGCAGTCAAATACTCTAAACGCGTGTCGATTATAAATGTGGAGGGAAAACCCCTGGAGAAAAATCCACGCGACCACGGGGAGAGAGAGACACGCAAACTCCAAATATACAGCAGGTGCCAAGAGTCGGGATCGAACCCACGACCTCCTGTATACCAGGCGAGGTAGTTAACATCTCCTAGCCACCGCGGCACCCGTCTGCGTGCGATCCACCAACCCTCGCCGCTGCCTCCACAGTGCTGTGGATCGCAGGCAGCCAGGCGCAGCAGCGTAGCCACCAACACCGCCGGGGCCGTCGCTCGGCTGCACCGATGCGTAATTGCTGCCCCGTGGCCGCCTTGCACCGGCAGATCGGGGCGCTGGACGACCACTACCTCCTGCAGAGGCGCGACCTCCCGCGGAGGGTGAGGAGGGGCACTCAGGAGCACACGGAGCGCCTCTCCAGCGACCACCGGGTACCCCACCCCCCACCCCCCACGTCGATTCACGCGCGCCGCCCACTGACGCCGCTCCTCGCGCGTTCGTTTCTTTGTCCGTTCATTGCCACTGCTGCGCCCCATCGTCGCGACATTCGCCAAGACCACTCCAGATGGCATCACGGCTCTGCCTGCCCCCCACTCCCCCTGTCTGCCGCCCTCCCTCCCCTGCAGGTGAAGTGGGTGGAGCAGCAGTACCACAAGGATCGCTCCAAACGCGCGCCCCCCCGCGCGCCCCCCGCGCCCTGCCCCCACTGCTCCCCCGTGGACATGTTCGACGACCCCCTGTGGTTCAAGCAGTGGTACCTGGTGCGTACCTGGGGGGGGGGCGGAGGGGGGGGGCGTGAGTTTGGGGGGGGGTGATGAGAGCGGTGGGGGCGATAAGGTTGGTGGTGGTGATGGAGGTGATCGCTAAGGGCACTTGCTCCAAAAGTCTCTTCGAGGCTATAGGGGGGATATTTGTCTTTGGGGTGGTATGTGGGGAGCGGTGGCGCAGTGGTTGGCGCATCACGCTACGAACCCGGCCCCTGACGCCGAGTTCGATTCCCGATTTGCACGGTTGACTACGCACAGTGCGAAATAAGTTCAACATATATCTCTATCAGACACAACCACCAACACCGCATGTCAACCCAAGCCACCCACCCCCCCCATGCCCCCCCCCGTGCCCCCTGTGCTGCCCCCCGTGAGCAGCAGGACACGCGGAGGGACCGCTCGCTGCCCAAGCTGGACCTGCACGTGATCCCCGTGTGGCGAGCGGGGATCACGGGCCGTGGGGTCGTGGTCACGGTGCTGGACGATGGCCTCGAGTGGAACCACACGGACATCCGCGGCAACTACGTGAGGAAGGGGAGGCGGGGGGTGGCGAGGGAGGGGGAGGGTGAGGGAGGGGGGCGAGAGAGGGGGGCCCACACGTCCGCAATGGGTGCTGTGAGACTCGTGCGGCCTCACAGCGAGAGGGGGCCTGGGTTCGGCTCTCGAATTTGGGAACATTTCTGTCGCATGGAGTTCGTGCGACCTCCTAAGAATACGCGTATTTGTCTTCTGCCCAGAACCCTCCTCCACAAATCCTACCCACTAAACCCTGACCCCTAAAACCTGACCCCAAACAGAGGCGTACCTAGAGGGGCCAGCAGTAGCTGCTGGGTGTCTGGTAGAGTGGGCAGCAGTAGCTGCTGGATGTTTGGTAGAGGGGGCAGCTGCTGCTGTGTTCAGTGTTGATGAGCCCTGGACACCGAGTCGGCAAAACCAGACCTGGAGTTGAAGAGTCACTGAGTGACGGACGATTCGGATATAGCATGCAAGGAGTGCTCACCCCTAGTCCACCCTCTACCCCTAATACTACCACCTACCCTACCCAGTTCAACATACATATACATATCCAATTCTGCCCCACAATTCTAAACTTCAACCCTGCTACCCTACTCCTAAATGAATCACTAACCCTCCCTTACTCCTATCCTGATCACTAACCCTCCCTTACTCCTATCCTGATCACTAACCCTCCTCTACTCCTGACCTGATCACTAACCCTCCCCTACTCCTGACCTGATCACTAACCCTCCCCTACTCCTAACCTGATCACTAACCCTCCCCTACTCCTAACCTGATCACTAACCCTCCCCTACTCCCGACCTGATCACTAACCCTCCCCTACTCCTATCCTGATCACTAACCCTCCCCTACTCCCGACCTGATCACTAACCCTCCCCTACTCCTATCCTGATCACCAACCCTCTCTTACTCCTATCCTGTTCACTAACCCTCCCCTACTCCTATCCTTATCACTAAACCTCCCTTACTCCTATCCTGTTCACTAACCCTCCCCTACTCCCAACCTGATCACTAACCCTCCCCTACTCCTGACCTGATCACTAACCCTCCCCTACTCCTATCCTGATCACTAACCCTCCGCTACTCCCAACCTGATCACTAACCCTCCCCTACTCCTAACCTGATCACTAACCCTCCCCTACTCCTAACCTGATCACTAACCCTCCCCTACTCCTGACCTGATCACTAACCCTCCCCTACTCCTAACCTGATCACTAACCCTCCCTACTCCTATCCTGATCACTAACCCTCCCCTACTCCTAACCTGTTCACTAACCCTCCCTTACTCCTATCCTGATCACTAAACCCTTACCCCGATCCCCTCCCCATGACCCCTGACCCCCAGGACCCCGACGCAAGCTACGACTTCAACGACAACGACCCAGACCCCTTCCCCCGATACGACATCACCAACGAGAACAAGTGAGACCACAGCCACCGCCACAAACATTTATGGGACTCCCCTAGGTCGACTCAGCCTCACATGAGTACCCGGTGCGGTGTGTAAACATCGCCACTCGGGAGGCAAAAGCGGCCGAGCGCGCTGCTGGCCACCCACCCCCACTTCGTAGGCGCTGCTCGCTAACGGCACTTGCCCCAACAGTCTGTTCAGGCTACTCGGGGGATCGTTGTCTTTATACCCCCGTGTATCCCTGTGTGTGTACCCCCGTGACCCCCGTGTACCCCCGTGTGTGTACCCTGGCAGGCACGGCACCCGCTGCGCCGGTGAAATCGCCATGCGTGCCAACAACGGCAAGTGTGGCGTCGGGGTGGCCTTCAACGCCCGCGTGGGAGGTGAGCGCCTTCCACGCTCACTCGCTCGGCCGGGGGCTGGGATGGAGAAGGGATGAGACTAACATTGCCCACAGACTAACATTGCCCACAGACTAACATTGCCCACAGACTAACATTGCCCACAGACTAACATTGCCCACAGACTAACATTGCCCACAGACTAACATTGCCCACAGACTAACATTGCCCACAGACTAACATTGCCCACAGACTAACATTGCCCACAGACTAACATTGCCCACAGACTAACATTGCCCACAGACTAACATTGCCCACAGACTCACATTTCCCATAGACTAACATTGCCCATAGACTAACATTGCCCACAGACTAACATTGCCCACAGACTAACATTGCCCATTGACTAACATTGCCCACTGACTAACATTGCCCATTGACTAACATTTCCCATAGACTAACATTGCCCATAGACTCACATTGCCCATTGACTAACATTGCCAATAGACTAACATTGCCCATAGACTAACATTGCCCACAGACTAACATTGCCCACAGACTAATATTGCCCATTGACTAACATTGCCAATAGACTAACATTGCCCATTGACTAACATTGCCAATAGACTAACATTGCCCACAGACTAACATTACCCATAGACTAACATTGCCCACAGACTAACATTGCCATACACTAACATTGCCCACAGACTAACATTTCCCATAGACTAACATTGCCCATAGACTCACATTGCCCATTGACTAACATTGCCCATAGACTAACATTGCCCATAGACTAACATTGGCCATAGACTCACATTGCCCATACACTAACACTACCCATACACTAACACTACCCATAGACTAACATTGCCCACTGACTAAGATTGCCCACAGACTAACATTGCCCACAGACTAACATTGCCCACTGACTAACATTGCCCACAGACTAATATTGCCCATAGACTCACATTGCCTATACCAGTGGTTCTTAACCTTGTTGGAGGTACCGAACCCCACCAGTTTCATATGCGCATTCACCGAACCCCTCTTTAGTGAAAAATAAAATGTGATTTTTTTTCAAATTCAAGACATGGATATGTTTTTTACTGGTACACAAAATGAGCCGTGCATGAACATTACCTTGTTCAAAGAATAAAACCAACACAATGCATAAACTCACAACAAATTACATACCTGGAAATCAATGTGACTTCTGCTGTTGCCTTTGAGAGATCAGTTCAGATATGCGTGGCTTCACCTTGGCAAGTGCCACTCTCATGTCATTTTCACAGCAAAGTCTGTTCCTTTTCTTCGTTTTTATGTCCAGCATCCTCGAAAAGGATTGCTCACAAAGATATGTTGTAACAAATGGTATAAAAAAATCCAGGGCTTTCTTAGCAATAACTGGATACTTGTTCATTTGTCGACACCGAAACGTTGAGAGCGTTGTTGTTCTGAAGAGTTGCTGTTGAACCTGGCTCTGCTGAATTTCAATCATTTCGTCGAGGAATTCATCATTGACATCTGCTGTTTCAACAGCAAACGTGAACGGCTGTCTCACCCATGCTGGATATGACTCTCTTGTAGGGAAATATCCGTCGAGAGACTTTGCAAGCTCATCTAAGTGCGTGGCAATTGTTTGCTTCAGTTCCGTGGATACAGAAATATCTCCGATTCCAGACACATCTTCGATCTTACTTGCACAGTCGTCCAGAAGCGGGAAGTTTGCGAAGTTATTGTTCTCTGTTCGTCGTTTCCATAACGGTAGCTTTTTTTGAAAAGCCTTCAGGTGTTCTTCCGCTTCCATGATATTGACTCCACCACCCTGCATCTGCTGATTGAGATGATTGAGAGCTGCGAATATATCAGCCATGTACGCTAAAATGAGAATGAACTCAGGATTTTTGAAGCAATCTGCATGGCAGTGTTGGTGCTCTTGCAAAAACAGGGCTAATTCCACACGCATGGCAAAAACACGATTCAGCACCTGTCCCCGGGATAACCACCGAATATTAGAATGGAGCAGAAGTACCTCAAATTCAGAGCCCATTTTTTTACACAGCTCACTGAAGATGCGGTGCCTCAGAGCACTTTTTCGCACATAGTTCACACATTCCACCACAGTTTTTAATACTTCTGCCATTTTTGGAGGTAAGGTTTTTGTTGCCAACGCATGCCTGTGCAGAATACAATGCGTCACAATGATGTGTGGTGCATCGGCCTTTACTAGCGCACCAAAACCAGACTTTCTTCCCAGCATGACTGGAGCTCCGTCCGTACAAACTGCAGAAACCATATCCCATGAAAGATTGTTGTCTCTGAATAAGTCATCCACAAGCTTCTTCACATCGGCTGCCTTCGTTGTTGTTGTAAGAGGCTTACAAAATAAAAACTCTTCTTTTATCATGTCGTCTTTCACATAGCGTACAAAAACAGCAAGCTGGCTTAGATCAGAAACGTCTGTGGTTTCGTCGAGTTGAAGGCTGAATTTTGCCGGGCTTGAAATCAGATCCGCGACTACTTGAGCCAAGATGTCTTTACTCATGTCTTCTATTCTGTCACTGACGGTGTCATTTGAAAGGGGAATTTGGGATAATTTACCTTCGGCCGCTGTTCCGAGTATCAGATTCGCCATCTTTAATGCAGCTGGTTTCACAAGTGTTTCACCAATGGTGTGTGGCTTGCCCTGCTTTGCGATCAGGTAAGCAACTTCGTACGATGCTGTCAGGATCGGTTTGTTAACAGGTACAAATCCAAGAGCAGGCAGAGTGGCCCTTTCATCGAATCTGGCTCTCTTCACCCTGAATTCAGCAAGTGTTGTGTTCTTGTATTCCCCGTCTCCATGCAGCTTCAAGAAGTGTTCCTTTAGTTTTGCCGGTGCAAGACTAGAGTTGCTCAACTTGGCGTTGCAAATCATGCAGATAGGACGCTCACTCCCATCACGTTCCGTGATACATGAGAATCCATGTTGTACATATTCGTCCGACCACTTTCTTCTTTTGCCCGACATAGTTAGTATGGATAAAATATTAAAGAAATCACACGACGTACGACAACAACAGTCACACGTTGACTACTGAGTACGCACTAAATTCCCCACAGCGCTGATTGGCCAAGCAGTGTAGCATGATCATCTGCAGCCAGTGATGGCCAAGCGGGCCGTGTGTGTCATCACAAATTTACACAATAATTCAAGTGTGTCCGGACCTCCGTGGCGGGGGCTCTGCCGAACCCCTGAGATCGACTCACCGAACCCCTGGGGTTCGATCGAACCCAGGTTAAGAACCACTAGCCTATACACTAACATTGCCCATACACTAACACTACCCATACACTAACACTACCCATAGACTAACATTGCCCATAGACTAACATTGCCCATAGACTAACATTGCCCATAAACTAACATTGCCCATAGACTAACATTGCCCATAGACTAACATTGACCATAGACTAACATTGCCCATAGACTAACATTACCCATAGACTCACATTGACCAGAGACTCACATTGCCCATAGACTAACATTGCCCATAGACTAACATTGACCATAGACTAACATTGCCCATAGACTCACATTGCCTATACACTAACATTGCCCATAGACTAACATTGACCATACACTCACATTGACCAGAGACTAACATTGCCCATAGACTAACATTGCCCATAGACTAACATTGCCCATAGACTAACATTGCCCATAAACTAACATTGACCATAGACTAACATTGCCCATAGACTAACATTACCCATAGACTCACATTGACCAGAGACTCACATTGCCCATAGACTAACATTGCCCATAGACTAACATTGACCATAGACTAACATTGCCCATAGACTCACATTGCCTATACACTAACATTGCCCATAGACTAACATTGACCATACACTCACATTGACCAGAGACTAACATTGCCCATAGACTAAAATTGCCCATAGACTAACATTGACCAGAGACTAACATTGCCCATACACTAACACTACCCATACACTAACATTGCCCATGGACTACCATTGCCCATACACTAACATTGACCATAGACTCACATTGACCAGAGACTAACATTGCCGATAGACTAACATTGCCCATAGACTAACATTGACCATAGACTCACATTGCCCACAGACTAACATTGCCCATAGACTCACATTGCCCATACACTAACACTACCCATACACTAACACTACCCATAGACTAACATTGACCATAGACTCACATTGCCCACAGACTAACATTGCCCATAGACTCACATTGCCCATACACTAACACTACCCATACACTAACACTACCCATAGACTAACATTGCCCATAGACTAACAAGTTCTTGAGTAAATATCAAGGACCGAGCTGCATGGGAGGAAGCCCAAGCTCACCGACGTCTTGAGAAAGGGCACAGAGAGAGCGAGAGAGAGAGAGATTGTGTACCCAATACGAATCAGAATCACAATGACGAGATCACGCAGAGATGGATGTAGTGGCGTGGCCAAGATCTAATTCCCGGAGCGGCTCTCCGGACCGCTCCGGCTGATATCCGGCACCGTGCCACACCCCACGCTCCACGGTGGTGGTCCGATGTCAGATCCGAGTGGCCCACAGTGGACAAATAGCCAGAGATCGATTCTCCAGTGGCCCACGATGGGCCAGACCACGGCTAACTGAACGCGACCCACGTAGGCCTCTCCCGCACCCTGCCACCACCCGCCCCCACGTAACCCCGTGGCCCCCTTGTCCCCCCCGGCCCCCCCCCCCCCCCCCAGGGATCCGCATGCTGGACGGCATCGTGACGGACGCCATCGAGGCGAGCTCCATCGGCTTCAACCCGCAGCACGTGGACATCTACAGCGCCTCCTGGGGCCCCAATGACGACGGCCGCACCGTGGAGGGGCCCGGCCGTCTGGCGCGCAAGGCCTTCGAGCACGGCATACTCCGGGTGAGGAGGGCCCTGCCCCTGGCCACCCGCCCGCCCACCCGCCTGCGTGCCCTACACTATGGGAACGAGAGCGCCAACACCGCACGTCCTCCATTATAATTAGTATCGTCGTTATCTCTCACCCCGAACATCGACCCCGTGACCCCGTCGCCAGGGTCGCGGTGGGAAGGGCTCCATCTTCGTGTGGGCGTCGGGGAACGGGGGTCGGCAGGGAGACAACTGCGACTGCGACGGCTACACGGACAGCGTGTTCACCATCTCGGTGAGCAGCGCCTCGCAGCGCGGCCTCTCGCCCTGGTACGCCGAGAGGTGCTCCTCCACCATGGCGACGGCCTACAGCAGCGGCGACTACAGTGACCAGCGCATCGTACGTACCCCCCACCCACGCACCGCTTCCACCCACCAAACACCCACGACGAGCCTGCGCGGGGGGGGGGGGGGGGGGGGGGTGGTGGCACCAGGAGACAGGAAGACATCAGGGGATAGGGAACACCTGGACGTGGACTCACCTGGGCACGGAGACACCTGGAGACAGGGAGACATCAGGGGATTGGGAACACCTGGACGTGGACTCACCTGGGCACGGAGACACCTGGAGACAGGGAGACATCAGGGGATAGGGAACACCTGAACGTGGACCCACCTGGACACGGAGACACCTGGAGACAGGGAGACATCAGGGGATTGGGAACACCTGGACGTGGACTCACCTGGGCATGGAGACACCTGGAGACAGGGAGACATCAGGGGATTGGGAACACCTGGACGTGGACTCACCTGGGCATGGAGACACCTGGAGATACAGACACCATTAAACAGACACTCCTAGGCATTGACATGATCAGCATCGCTAATGCCAGCCATGCTGATGATGCTGATGATGATGGTGATGACTTTGTTTATCATGGAGCTCGTGATGATGATGATCATGATCACATTGCTGGGGATGCTGTTGGTGATTTTGGTGTTGATGGTAGTGCTGTTGATGATGTTGATGGTGGTGGTAGTGATGTTGGCGATGGTGCTGATGTTGATGGTGGTGTTGATGATGATGATGATGATGTCGTTGATGGTGATGTTGCAGCTAGGGTTGATGTCGTTGGTGGTGGTGATGGTGCAACCAGTGTTGATGTTGATGATGATGTTGGTGGTGGTGATGTTGGAGGGTGTTGATGTCGATGTTGTTGATGGTGGTGGTGTTGATGTTGACGATGTTGTTGATGGTGGTGATGTTGACGATGTTGATGGTGGTGGTGTTGATGTTGACGATGTTGTTGATGGTGGTGGTGTAGATGTTGACGATGTTGTTGATGGTGGTGTTGTTGACGATTTTGTTGATGGTGGTGGTGTTGATGTTGACGATGTTGTTCGTGGTGGTGGTGTTGACGATGTTGTTGATGGTGGTGGTGGTGTTGATGTTGACGATGTTGTTGATGGTGGTGGTGTTGACGATGTTGTTGATGGTGGTGGTGTTGACGATGTTGTTCATGGTGGTGATGTTGACGATGTTGTTGATGGTGGTGTTGATGTTGACGATGTTGTTGATGGTGGTGGTGTTGACGATGTTGTTGATGGTGGTGTTGACGATGTTGTTGATGGTGGTGGTGTTGACGATGTTGTTGATTGTGGTGGTGTTGACGATGTTGTTGATGGTGGTGTTGACGATGTTGTTGATGGTGGTGTTGATGTTGACGATGTTGTTGATGGTGTTGTTGACGATGTTGTTGATGGTGTTGATGTTGACGATGTTGTTGATGTTGACGATGTTGATGGTGGTGTTGCAGGCGAGTGCGGACCTGCACAACACGTGTTGATGTTGACGATGTTGTTGATGGTGTTTGGTGATGACGATGTTGTTGATGGTGTTTGGTGGTGGTGGTGTTGCAGGTGAGTGCTGACCTGCACAACACGTGCTGATGTCGATGTTGTTGATGGTGGTGGTGTTGATGTTGACGATGTTGACGATGTTGTTGATGTTGATGGTGGTGGTGTTGACGATGTTGTTGATGGTGTTTGGTGGTGGTGTTGCAGGCGAGTGCTGACCTGCACAACACGTGCTGATGTCGATGTTGTTGATGGTGGTGGTGTTGATGTTGATGATGTTGTTGATGGTGTTTGGTGGTGTTGATGTTGTTGATGTTGACGATGTTGTTGATGGTGATGTTGCAGGCGAGTGCGGACCTGCACAACACGTGTTGATGTTGACGATGTTGACGATGTTGGTGGTGGTGTTTGGTGGTGGTGTTTGGTGGTGATGTTGCAGGCTAGTGCTGACCTGCACAACACGTGTTGATGTTGACGATGTTGACGATGTTGGTGGTGGTGTTTGGTGGTGGTGTTTGGTGGTGGTGTTGCAGGCTAGTGCTGACCTGCACAACACGTGTTGATGTTGACGATGTTGACGATGTTGGTGGTGGTGTTTGGTGGTGGTGTTTGGTGGTGGTGTTGCAGGCTAGTGCTGACCTGCACAACACGTGTTGATGTTGACGATGTTGACGATGTTGGTGGTGGTGTTTGGTGGTGGTGTTTGGTGGTGGTGTTGCAGGCTAGTGCTGACCTGCACAACACGTGTTGATGTTGACGATGTTGACGATGTTGGTGGTGGTGTTTGGTGGTGGTGTTTGGTGGTGGTGTTGCAGGCTAGTGCTGACCTGCACAACACGTGTTGATGTTGACGATGTTGACGATGTTGGTGGTGGTGTTTGGTGGTGGTGTTTGGTGGTGGTGTTGCAGGCTAGTGCTGACCTGCACAACACGTGTTGATGTTGACGATGTTGACGATGTTGGTGGTGGTGTTTGGTGGTGGTGTTTGGTGGTGGTGTTGCAGGCTAGTGCTGACCTGCACAACACGTGCACCGACACCCACACGGGCACCTCGGCGTCGGCGCCGCTGGCGGCCGGGATCTTCGCCCTCGCGCTCGAAGCCAAGTGAGGGACGGGGGGCGGGGCTAGAGGGGACGGGCGGGGGGGGAGGGGGCAGGGCTAGAGGGGATGGGCGGGGGGGAGGGGGCGGGGCCAGAGGGGACGGGCGGGGGGGAGGGGGCGGGGCTAGAGGGGAGGGGGGGCTGAGGGGAAGGGAAGGAGGGAGGGGAGAGGCGCGGCGCTCAGATGAGCTTCTGGGGCCGTCTGGAACGCTCTTCCATCCGATATTAGGAAGCCACTTAGTGTGTTAGATTGTTGCCCTTCCCCCGCACCTCTGATTAGCGCGGTTGGCTCCGTACGGTGCGAAAGAAGTTCAACATAGTGTACATACAGACGGGAGTAGGGGTGGCTGTTGGTGATGGTGGTTGATGGTGGCATTGTAACGATGGGGAGCGGTGGTGGAGCGGTTAGCGCTACGCTACCAACCTGTCGACCCGATTGCGATTCTTGCTCACGGCCAAGGGGCCGTCCATAAATGACGTCACGCACCTAGGGGGGGTCAGACATTTGTGACGATGTGTGACGAGGGGGGGGGGGGTGAGATATGTGACGTCACATCAAAATGCGCAACTTTAACTAAATATAGACAACACGTTCTACTTAATTAAATAGACTTTTTAATCAATGTTTTATCCTACAACATCAGAGTGCAGCGCCACATTAAATACGCGCTACAAGGACAATAGTTTAAAGCGATTTGAAGCATTTTTTTTTTGGGGGGGGGGGCGGAGCACAGCTTTGTGACGTCATATTTGAGGGGGGTCTGACTTTTTGTGACGTCGTGTGACGAAGGAGGGGGGGTCAAAAATCGTCCAAAATCGCGTGACGTCATTTATGGACGGCCCCCAACATCAGTGGCGATTGTCTGAACCAGTCCTGGGCCTCCCATAGGTCGATTCAGCCTCAAATGAGGAACAGGTGCGGTGCGTAAACATCGCGACTGGGGAGACAAAGGCGGTCGGGCGTGATCCCGGCCACAAACCCCCCGTGTGCCATGCCGGCCTTCGTAGGCGCCCGCTAACAGCCCCAACAGTCCGTGAAGGCTACACCGGGGGGGGTCTCTGTCCTGTGGTCGTCACCGCGTCGGTGTGGGACCGTGCTGAACGGGTCGCCACGAGGCGCTCCCCCTCCCCACACTGCGCAAGCAGCCACGGCGAGCCACGTTTTGTCGGCTCACCGTCGCCCCCTCGCCCTCCTCACCACCACCGCAGCCCGGCGCTCACCTGGCGAGACGTGCAGCACCTGGTGGTGTGGACGTCAGAGTACGACCCGCTGGCCAACAACCCCGGCTGGAAGCGCAACGGCGCGGGCCTCATGGTCAACAGCCGCTTCGGGTTCGGGCTCCTCAACGCCAAGGCGCTGGTGGAGCTCGCGCAGCCCGCCACGTGGCGTCACGTGGCGCCCGCCAGGGCCTGTGTCGTCACAGACGACCGGTTCACGCCCAGGTGAGCGGCTCGGCGGTGCGGCCGGGTTGGGGTGGGCGGCGGGGTGAGCGCGCGGGCAGGTGTCGGGGGGGGGGTCAGGGGCAAAGGTATTGGGGTTAGGGGGTAGGGGTGTGAGAGTGTTGGGGTGTAGGGGTGAGGGTGTAGGGGTGAGGGTGTAGGGGTGAGGGTATAGGGGTGTAAGGGTGTTGGGGTTAGGGGTGAGGGTGTAGGGGTGTTGTGGTTAGGGGTGAGAGTGTAGGGGTGTAGGGGTGAGGGTGTAGGGGTGTTGGGGTTAGGGGTGAGGGTGTAGGGGTGTTGGGGTGTAGGGGTGTTGAGGTGTAGGGGTGAGGGTGTAGGGGTGTAAGGCTGTTGGGGTTAGGGGTAAGGATGTAGGGGTGTAGGGGTGTTGGGGTTAGGGGTGTAGGGGTGTTGGGGTGAGGGTGTAGGGGTGTTGGGGTTAGGGGTGAGGGTGTAGGGGTGAGGGTGTTGGGGTGAGGGTGTGGGGTGTAGGGGTGTTGAGGTGTAGGGGTGAGGGTGTAGGGGTGTTGGGGTTAGGGGGTCGAAGTTTTGTGCTCAGGGCGAGAGGGTGGAGCCACTCCTCCGAGGACCCAGCAGCAGGTGGCGCTGCTTCCTCTCTGCCGTGAACACCGCCGACTCATTCCGAGACGTCTCGTCAGTTGTGCAAGAGGGAGGCCGAAACATCCTCTAGAGTCTAGAGTCGAGACTGAGTCTAGAGTAGCTCTCTTTAACATGTAGGCTCTCTTGGTAGAGCCCCCTCATGGTAACTTCTGCCACTCCGTTATTAACCACTCGCCCACCCACTAACTGCACCATCCACTCAACCACTCATCCACTCACTCACCCACTCACTCAACCATCCATCCACTCAACCATGCACCCACACGTCTTCTCACTCAACCACCCTCATCACTCATCCATCCACTCACCGGCCCATCTGGATCATTCACTCACTGAATCACTCATCCACCCACTCACTCACTCGCTCACCCACCCACTCACTCAACCGCTCAGCTACCCACTCACTCACCCGCTCACCCACTCCATTGTGAGTACATTGTGGTATTGGCGCTGTTGTTATTCTCGAGCGGGGCGATCGTCACGAATGGAAGGCGCCGCTTTTCCACAGACACAGCCCACTCACTCACCCGCTCACCCACCCACCCACTTACCGACCCACCCACTCACTCACCCGCTCACCCACCCACTCACTCACCCGCTCACCCACCCACCCACTCACCCGCTCACCCACCCACTCACTCACCCGCTCACCCACCCGTCACGAAGGAAGGCGCCGCTGTTCCACAGACACAGCCCGCGGTCGTTCCGCAGTCGGGGTCGATGTGGCTGCCAAACGGAGTGATTCGTGGTGTCATTGTTCAAAATTGGGCCGTGACTCCGGCACACGATGGCCTACTCTTGCAAACGACGTCACGGGATCTTGATAGTCACACTGCGCGTGAAGCAGACGGTGCGGAGTGGTAGTAGTGTTATGGTTAATGCACCACATCACCGCAGTATTAACCTGGGTGGCACGCCGGATTCGAACAGCGAACCTCTGCAACAAACACCGAGCACGTGACCGCGCGTGTCGCACTCTACGAGTGGAAATTGAACTTCTTTCGCATCACCGTACACGTGGCAAACGACGCTAATCAGAGGTGCATTACCGCTGCCCCACAGCGCGCTAACTGTTCTGGCCCTGCCACCCACACCACCACCCCACACCACCACCCCACCGCCTCACCCACGGCACTGCAGGTGGCTGGGTAACGGGCGTGAGGTGTCCGTGGAGATCCCGACGCGGGGCTGCGAGGGACAGGAGAACGAGATTCGATCCCTGGAGCACGTGCAGCTGGAGACGACTCTGGAGTACACGCGGAGGGGAGACCTCCACATCACGCTCACCTCGCCCACGGGTGAGAGCTCATCCCCGCCCACCCCCCACTCCGCTCACTCACCACCCCTCACCTCCACCCCCCGACTCTGATCCACGCAACCCTCACACCGCCACCACCACCACAATCACCACTAACCACCATCAACACCACCACAATCACCACTAACCAATATCATCACCACCACAATCACCACTAACCAATATCATCACCACCACAATCACCACTAACCAATATCATCACCACCACCACCATAATCACCACTAACCACCATCAACACCACCACCACAATCACCACTAACCAATATCACCACCACAATCACCACTAACCAATATCATCACCACCACAATCACCACTAACCAATATCATCACCACCACCACCACTACAATCACCACTAACCACCATCAACACCACCACAATCACCACTAACCAATATCATCACCACCACCACAATCACCACTAACCACCATTAACACCACCACAATCACCACTAACCAATATCATCACCACCACAATCACCACTAACCAATATCATCACCACCACAATCACCACTAACCAATATCATCACCACCACAATCACCACTAACCACCATCAACACCACCACAATCACCATTAACCAATATCATCACCACCACACTCACCACTAACCAATATCATCACCACCACAATCACCACTAACCAATATCATCACCACCACAATCACCACTAACCAATATCATCACCACCACTTCCACAATCACCACTAACCACCATCAACACCACCACAATCACCAGTAACCAATATCATCACCACCACAATCACCACTAACCAATATCATCATCACCACCACCACCACCACAATCACCACTAACCACCATCAACACCACCACAATCACCACTAACCAATATCATCATCATTATCACCACAATCACCACTAACCAATATCATCATCATCACCACAATCACCACTAACCAATGTCAACACCGTCATCACCAGCATCACCATCAACACCGCCAATGTCACCAACATAACCACCACCATTAATCCAGCACCGTGGAGGCAGCGAGGGTTGGTGGATCGCACAAAGATGCTCCGAAACTCCCTTCCCTTGGCCGTCGTGGAGAAGCGGGCCCAGCAAGGTGTGGACTCCACTTGTCCTCTCTGTGCGGGACACAGCGCTTCCCCCCGTATGCACGGGTCGGTTTTCTCCGGATGCTGTGGCTTCCCCCCGCACGTAAACACTGAACCATTGGCCGATAATTACAGCTTCATATACAGAGGACCGCAGAGCACAGGCGCTTGTTGTTGCTGCTGCTGCCACCGCCTTCCCGCTCGTCCGTGGTTCTTCCTCGCACCCGTGAGCCGTCCTCTGTCTCCGCTCGAGAGTCGACGTCCTCGCCACGCTCGCCACCGATGGCCGTCGTCCGGCACCCGCCAACGGGGACGTGAACCGCGGCGCTTGTACCAGGCTAGGTGCACTTTGAGGCCATCTCACGTGAAGCGTGGAAGACTCCTGCTGTCGGCAGGAGGTCACGAGTCAGGCCCAGGCGCCACGGGTTGACTGACCCCTTGTTTGTAATGCCTGTGATGAGCGGTGGCAGAGCTCGCCACTGTCACCACCGCCACCACCATCATCATCGCTACCGCCCCCCACTCCCCTCCCCCGCGGCCCCCCACAGGCACGACCACGGCGCTGCTGGCGGAGCGCGAGCGCGACGCGTCTCGTGATGGCTTCAAGGGCTGGCCCTTCATGTCGGTGCACACGTGGGGAGAGAATCCAGTGGGGACCTGGACCCTCACCATCACCGACCGAGTGAGTGTCTGCCGGACGTGGATCTAGAAGCTTCCCAGTCTCTTTGCGTCTCTCCCACCCTCCCACACCAACCCACCGAGAGTGACGTTTTTTCCAATTCCTGATCTTCCCAAAAAACTTTGTCGCCGTTAATGTCACCGCGTCGTTAATGTCACCGCGTCGTTGATGTCACCGCGTCGTTAATGTCACCGCGTCGTTAATGTCACCGCGTCGTTGATGTCACCGCGTGCCACTGTCGCCGTGTGACCGCCACCGCCGTTGCGCCGCAGTCCGGGCACGTGGAGAACGAGGGCCGCGTGGTGGCCTGGCGCCTCGTGCTGCACGGCACGGCCGCGCGCCCCGCCCACATGGCGGCCCCCCGCCTCTACAGCGCCTACAACGCCGTGCAGAACGACCGGCGCGGGGTGGACGCCTCGCCCGAGGACGCCGCCTCGTGGGTAAGACTCACGTGGGTGGTGGGGTGTGACTCACCTGGGGTGTTGGGGTGTGACCCACGCGGGGTGGTGGGGTACGATCCACGTGGGTGGTGTGGTGTGACTCACGCGGGGTGTTGGGGTGTGACTCACCTGGGGTGTTGGGGTGTGACTCACCTGGGGTGTTGGGGTGTGACTCACCTGGGGTGTTGGGGTGTGACTCACGTGGGGTGTTGGGGTGTGACTCACCTGGGGTGGTGGGGTGTGACTCACCTGGGGTGTTGGGGTGTGACTCACGTGGGGTGTTGGGGTGTGACTCACCTGGGGTGGTGGGGTGTGACTCACCTTGGGTGTTGGGGTGTGACTCACGTGGGGTGTTGGGGTGTGTCTCACCTGGGGTGGTGGGGTGTGACTCACGTGGGGTGTTGGGGTACGACCCACGTGGGGTGTTGGGGTGTGACTCACCTGGGGTGTTGGGGTGTGACTCCCCTGGGGTGTTGGGGTGCGACTCACCTGGGGTGTTGGGGTGTGACTCACGTGGGGTGTTGGGGTGTGACTCACCTGGGGTGGTGGGGTGTGACTCACGTGGGGTGTTGGGGTACGACCCACGTGGGGTGTTGGGGTGTGACTCACCTGGGGTGTTGGGGTGTGACTCACCTGGGGTGTTGGGGTGCGACCCACGTGGGGTGTTGGGGTGCGGGAGGGGGCGGTCTCACCTCATGATCCAATTGATGACAAACATCGGAAGAGCCCTTACCCTTTCTGGCGGCAACAATAGGGCAGGTGCTCAGGATGTTCATACACCAAATAGACACCACTGGCAAGCCTCACAAGTCTGCATTGACCACACGTACTTGTGTCAAAACATGCAAACAAACATGCTCTGACAGCCTTCTCTATGGCCTTGTCTCGCCGATGTTGGACCAGAGAATGCCAAAAGGTGAACAGTAGCAAGCAAAATTAAACATCAGAGCACGTGCAGCTCGGGTTGAACAGCAGTTATATATGTATGGGACCTTTGTGCCAGTTTCAAACTGATGAAACATGTAAGAATTGGCTTTAGCCTTTCTGCCAAATAACCAGGTGTGAAAATGTTCAAGCACCAAATAGATTATTCCTTTTGCGTATCGGTGATTCTGGCAAGAATGTCCCATCGACTCAATTATCCAAATTTGCCAATACACCGCAAATTACTCATCAATAGGGAATCATCCTCCACTACCGGCACACGAATGACCGCTCACAGGCCTAGGTGCCGAGTCACCTCGTGCCGCACAGGGACGGCTGCCCCTGCGGGTGTCCCGATCAGATGTGTGCAGACTTCCCGGCGTGTAAGAGGTGCTCATGGTCACCACTGTCGTTGCTACGCAGGTTACCATCACACGCAACATGGTACCACCACGCATGGACTCGTCCTTCATTTTTTGGGTTAGGCCACGTAGTGACCTGGCTAAATCTGTGTCGCAAACCCCTCCACCACGATCTCCCCTCTCCCCCACACTCTCTACCCGTGCAGGGCTCCACGGGCGTCACCTCGTCCTTCCCCGCCTCCGAGTCGGCGGAGCGCAACGAGGTGGACGAGGAGGTGGCGGGCGACGACGGCGGCGACGGCGACGAGGTGGCGAAGGCGGACGACGCGGACCCGCGGCACGGCTCGCGGCTCCCGCCGTACTTCGTCGCGCCGGACGAGGTGGAGCGGCTGCTCGGCCTCTCGGCGGGCGGGCGGCGGCAGGGCGGCCACGACGAGGTGGAGGACGAGGTGGACGACGAGGTGGACGACGAGGTGGAGCGAGCGGAGCTGCACCGCCTGCGCGGAGACCCGGGCCGGGCGGACGCGGCGAGGGCCATCGCACGGCTGCTCGCGATGAGAGGGTGACGGTGGGGGCGGCGGGACCAGGGGCCGTCCTCGTCTCACCTCGTCTACCACGCACGACGACGCGGTCGGCACAGAGGCCGGGGAGGAGGGAGCGAGGGGGAGCGAGGAGGGAGCGAGGGGGAGCAATGGGGGAGCCACGGGGGAGCAATGGGGGGGCGAGGAGGAGCGAGGGCCGATTGCAGGCACACGACTCGGATAGAGATGGGGGCAGGGCTGGTGAGGCCTCGTGTGGTGAGGGAAAGGGCGAGTGTCGTGAGGGTTGGTGTGGTTAGGGGCAGGGATAGTGTGGTTAGCGGTAGGGATAGTGTGGTTAGGGGCAGGGATAGTGTGGTTAGGGGCAGGGCTGGTGTGGTTAGGGGCAGGGTTAGTGTGGTTAGGGGTAGGGATAGTGTGGTTAGGGGCAGGGATAGTGTGGTTAGGGGTAGGGTTAGTGTGGTTAGGGGCAGGGATAGTGTGGTTAGGGGCAGGGATAGTGTGGTTAGGGGCAGGGATAGTGTGGTTGGGGGTAGGGTTAGTGTGGTTAGGGGTAGGGATAGTGTGGTTAGGGGCAGGGATAGTGTGGTTAGGGGCAGGGATAGTGTGGTTAGGGGCAGGGATAGTGTGGTTAGGGGCAGGGATAGTGTGGTTAGGGGCAGGGATAGTGTGGTTGGGGGTAGGGTTAGTGTGGTTAGGGGCAGGGATAGTGTGGTTAGGGGTAGGGTTAGTGTGGTTAGGGGTAGGGATAGTGTGGTTAGGGGCAGGGATAGTGTGGTTAGGGGCAGGGTTAGTGTGGTTAGGGGTAGGGATAGTGTGGTTAGGGGCAGGGTTAGTGTGGTTGGGGGTAGGGTTAGTGTGGTTAGGGGCAGGGATAGTGTGGTTAGGGGTAGGGTTAGTGTGGTTAGGGGCAGGGTTAGTGTGGTTAGGGGCAGGGATAGTGTGGTAAGGGGCAGGGCTGGTGTGGTTAGGGGCAGGGATAGTGTGGTTAGGGGCAGGGATAGTGTGGTTAGGGGCAGGGCTGGTGTGGTTAGGGGCAGGGCTGGTGTGGTTAGGGGTAGGGTTGGTGTGGTTAGGGGCAGGGTTGGTGTGGTTAGGGGCAGGGTTGGTGTGGTTAGGGGCAGGGTTGGTGTGGTTAGGGGCAGGGTTGGTGTGGTTAGGGGTAGGGCTGGTGTGGTTAGGGGCAGGGCTGGTGTGGTTAGGGCTACGTGGGCAGGGCTGGTGTCGGTCCGTCAGCGTTAGAGTGATTCTCTCCCCTGTGCCCTCCTCCTCCCCTCCGCTGTTCTCTCTGCGCTGCGAGGAGCAGCCATTTCCTAGACGACTCCAGCATCACCGCCCCTACACCCTCACCCAGAACCACCAGCCATGGTCAAAGCACTGCTGGAGTATAGTCACACCACCCCATGATCCACACAGTGTGGAGAGGTGGGGGACAATGTCATCCAGCAGTAGATTGACCTACTTCATGACGTTCAAACAATTGACCATAATTAATCCAAATAACTCGTGTTCCAGGAATCGATTTCAGTTCCACCGATTTGGGGGTGGGGATGCGTCGTGAAATATAGTGAATTTGATGGTGGTCGGTGATGGTGGTGGTGATGGTGGGGGTCGCTAATATTCCAAATGTCTGTCTCCTCGCCCTGGCCCCGCGGAGGCCACACACCCCACGCACCCCACGCACCCCCTACACCCCACGCACCCCACGCACCCCCCACTCGCCCGCTCGACAGCTCCCGTGATGCGAGCGACTCGAGACGCTTTTTTTCCCGTGACACAAATTCCCCTCCCAAAGCCACCAAACCTCTCGTCCGTGCCTCTCCACGTGGCGTGAGTCAATTCCCATTGTGCTCGCCGTGATGAAACTGTGCACCGAGTGAACATGCCAACGTCCATGGGTTCAGGACAACGTCGTTGGTCCACCAATGAGTTCAGAACAACGTCGTTGGTCCACCACAGTGTCAAGTCCACCGGCCCCTTCATTTCCGGCACCACTAAACGTCCCAGTAGGAGCATCGCGCCTTTGAGCAGCCAACGTTAATCTCGACCTTTGTGGGTCTCATCGGCACATGCCCGGCTCGTTTCATTGATGGTATTGGAAGTTCCACTCCCATCTCTGCACGATGGGACCCTCCCACAACGTTGAGCGCTTACAAGCAACGTGCTATGATGGCATATGATGCCCTCTAGTGGATTAGCGATTAATTACCGCGATAACCGAATAATTCGGGTGTTAATGCGTTCTTTCCTATTACCCTTGGAGCTTGGTACTCAAGTCTAAACGTTCGGGATGGATTGAAGAAGGCCCACTGCCCGAAACGTCGCCCATGATGCATTTCTGTTATTTTAAGGCCACACACAATGTTGTTATCGGCACGGAACTTGTCGTGAGCTTTCCTATCAATTAGAAATGCGCGGATGAGAGCCGTCTCGAGAGCCACGCTGTGCTGAGCGGGCGAGTCACGGGTGGAGCTTCCGCGGATTTCCTTCGGCCGTGCGTGTGCCCCACGCCCCCCCCAACTCTCCCCCTCTCTTCCCCCTGGACACGGCAACGTCTCGAGACGATGACGACGAAGACGACGAAGACGATGTCGCCGTCTTTTGTTCTCGCCGAGATTTCTTGCGATCTCCCGGCGGAACTCCATTCCGGCTTCTTAATTTATTTCGTGATTTCGATGTTCGGCGTCGTGCGGCGGTGCGCGTATGCTGCTTGTAATGACGATGCTCACAGCATGAACAGAATGAAAAACCTTGCAGAACAAACACGAACGCTTGTTAAGACGCATGGGTTTGAAAATTATATTTTAGTACCAAACACGTCCGTGTCCGTTGGTTTCCCAACATTCGCGACTGCCTTTTTTATTTTTTATTTTGTTTCCATTGTTTTTAATCCGTTCCGATTGCGCTACCCGTGGTTGAGACTGAACAAGCGGGAGACATGCCAACGTTGGGGCAACGTTGGGCAAACGATACTTACCACATGCCAACGTTGGGGCAACGTTGGTCCAACCACATACCAACGTTGGGGCAACGTTGGGCAAACGATACTTACCACATGCCAACGTTGGGGCAACGTTGGGCAAACGATACTTACCACATGCCAACGTTGGGGCAACGTTGGGCAAACGATGCTTACCACATGCCAACGTTGGGGCAACGTTGGGCAAACGATACCAACCACATGCCAACGTTGGGGCAACGTTGGGCAAACGATACCTACCACATGCCAACGTTGGGACAACGTTGGGCAAACGATACGTACCATGAGCCAACGTTGGGGTAACGTTGGACAAACGATACCGACCACATGCCAACGTTGGGGCAACGTTAGAACAAGGTTGCCATGTTTACAGGAGCATCCATTCGGAAATCTGGCAGAACAGTGCACTCGGGTTTGTCTACCACAGAGGAGTGTGTTTCTTAAATCACCGGTAAATGGTAAAGGCGCAGCCCTTCCACTTGCTGGCTCACGTCACTGCTGGTAGCGGCAGGGCCCCCAATGTCCACGCTGCCCCCACTCACTCTTGAAGAGACTCAGCGACGAGTTCGCGAACCGCAGATGAGCGGGAAGGCAGCAGCAGCAGCAGCTCGGCGGTGAGCCGGTGCCAAATCCCCTCTCCAAGCTCTGCAGTCCTCTATATACATCAAGGTGTTATCGGCCCAATTAATGAGTGTTCGCACGTGGGAGGAAACTGGAGCGCCTGGGGAAACCCCACGCGTGCGAGGGGGCAACATTATATCCCACACACAGCGAGCAGGTAAAGTCCACATTGGCTCCGCGGCCTTTCCGGCGAGCCAGGCGACGACTCCTCGACGCGCACGGGAAGGGAATTGCACAACATCTGTGTGTGACCACCAACCCTCGCCGCCTCCACGGGGCTGGACACCACTCTGCCGAGTGCTTCTCGGCAGAGTGCCCACGCCTCACCCCGCCACGCGACTCCCGACGGACCCAACCGAGGTGCCCGCTGTTTACACTTCCACGTGGTGGGGGCGGCAGGGTCGGTACGGCGCACGAGGGGTTTGGTGGGTATCCGTCACCACACCCGGCCGCCTTTGTCTCCCCAACGCTGATGTTGTTTACGCACCGCACCAGGTCCTCATTTATGGCTGAGTAGACCTAGGAGGGGAGACTTAGGACCGGCTCAGGCATTCGCTGTTACCGATGTTGGCCGGGAGTGGGAAGCGCCGCACCTCTTTGCATGATGCACATGGACGCCCCTCTTTGTATGACGCACATGGACGCCCCTCCTTGTATGACGCACATGGACGCACCTCTTTGTATGACGCACATGGACGCACCTCTTTGTATGACGCACATGGACCCCACTTCGTCAAGTGACGAGGATCGCCCCTACTCCGCTATTTGACCATACTTCACCAGGCTGGGCCTGGCCAATGCTGGTTTATGAATGCGGGCAGTAGCATAGCAAGACGCAGGAACAGAGAGGTAGGCGATTCAGCACGCCGACGAGTGCCGGGATTGTTTCCTGGTGACGCCCCTGCGCTGTTGGCCGCCTGCAGCACCACGGGCAGAGGTCGCCAACCTGCAACCCCTGGGCGCCTTGACACGTTGCGCAGTTTGTGTTTTCGTTCACGGAATTCGAGAAGGAAAACAATGGCTCTCGTTATTTCTGGTTCTCGACTGCGGTTGCCATGTCAGTAAAGCGCCTTCCCAGGCTCTACGAGCCCTGCTCAGCTGTCGAGATTGGGGCGCGGTTAGTCCGGCAGACCTGGCGATGATTCACCTCGGGCTGACAAGACGCGAGGCTCACTTAGCTGCCTGGCTTGCCCAGCTTGCTGCTGCTGCTGCCCTCACTGTATTCGCGTCCTTGAGGATGCGACAGCGTAGGGGGTGGGGAGCCCCCCCCTCACCCCCTCACCCCCTCTCCCTCACCCCGTATCCGCCCCACCTCAGCCTCCCACCGAGCAATCAAGAACCCATTACATCAGCTGGAGAGATGGCAGTGATGATGCTGCTGATGCTGCTGGTAATCCAACCCCGCCTCCGCTCTGTGCTCGCTGGAGAGGAGCAGCAGCCGTGTGCGGTTTGGGTTTCTTTAGAGACCACAGCGCGGCAGTCATCCATCCGTCGTTGTACTCTACTCCCATGCTCCCACGTGCCTGGTCGCCCCCAGGCACCTGTCGGGTGGTGACATGACGGCTGCACGTCGCCTGCATGGCTTCACGGCGTGACCCCGGCGGTGACCCCGTGACGTGTGCATTCGCGAGAGGAGGAAATTGCGTGCGGGCGTCACGGTCTCAATTGGGTAACAATTTTGAAAATCGACACCACGGATGATGAATGACTCGATGGGGATCACACAGCGGCAGCACCCCCGACCCCCTCTTCAACGGCAACTTGGCAGGACCCTCCT